TCAATTATACTTCAGTTTTAAATATTACTTCCTTAAAAGGTTGTACAAGTTAGATAAATGGTTGATCCCATCAGAGAGCTCTTGGTAACTCCATATTAGTATCTTTAAAACTCATGTCTTTTCTTCCTTAATAATTCTATTAGAAGCCATGTGACTTGATTTTAAAGTGATGAGAACTTCTTTAGGATCTCTTTCGCTTTGCTGGTAGACCCTTTGGTATGAAATGATCACTTTCTTTGTTCTGTTTCCTTCCTTCGCCTTTTTAGTTTTGGTTTTCTACGGACAGGAAGCATGGCTAGGCACAGGAAAGAGCTGCTTCATTTTTCTATTGTAAACTGCACATAAACACAGTTACTTTATCCTTAGCATCCAGATACATAACCAAATACTTCTTCCTGTTAGAATTAACTTTCTTTACAGTTACTTCTCCTACCTTTGAACATAGGCAATTGTTAGGAAGGCGAATCAAAATTTTGTCAATTTACTTTAAAAATGAAAAAAAAAAACCCACATAAATATAGATATCAATTTATCTGAATTTAGTAGACAATTAGCAGCTAAACCACCATCTTTATACTCCAAATTATAGTACTTCATTTCCGCATTAATTTTGCAATCTATACTTGTAAAATTAATCCATATTTCTTCTTTAACTTGTGAATGAATTGTAGAATTCTTTCAGAAACTGTTACCCCTTTTTAAATGGTCAGTCAAGCATTCTTTCTATTGCTTCTATCTTCAGGTTTTTATTACTTTTCCAGGCTACCCTTTCATTAGATATTTCAAAACAAAATTCACTCTTCCATTTTCTGTTTTCAGGCATGATCTCAGCCCTTCTGAGGCTGTGGGATTAATATTTTAAGGTTTCTTTTAGCTGCTTTGCATTGACTTTTGATATCTGAAAACCTGAATGCCCTATTCAACACATTTCTATGTTGTTGGGGTTTTTTTGAGAATTCCTGGGCACCTGTTCCACTGCTCCTTGGCTTTCTTTGTCTTAATAGTCATCTTTTATTCATTCATTATTGATTTTATTCATTTATTATTATCAGGATCCAGCCATTAGACAGGGCCCCATTGGCCCAGTTTGGGCACATTTTCATATCTAAGAAACACAGTTCATTGGTTATAAGTAACTAAATAGTAACTCAGATTTCTATTTATAGTCTCTCAAAAGATGTTAAAGGAAATCCAATTAATAAACTACAGCAACACTTCCTACACTCATCTTTCCTGTCCTCTCTAGTCTTCTCAAACCGTCCCATCCATCTGCTGCCCAGACAGTCTTACAGTTTTGAGCCCCAATGTGCTAACACCCCTATTTCCTAAACCAGCTTGAGTGACCTTGGTATTTGCTTATCTTTTCCTTTCCTCCCTGCCTCATCAGTCCAAATGGGTCTTAAGAAGTAAACAAGAGGGAAAAGCTGAGTGGAAAGTAAAAATATGAAAAATGTTTTTGACTAGCAGGAGGTTATGAAAAGAAGACAGGGAGCACTTACATAAATATATTTTGTCACTGTCGTCCATTCACCCATTGTCTGCTAAACTCTTAATGTCAACTGAGTACGGTGGGGATTCAAAATTGAGCAAGATACTGTCTTTGCCTTTGAGAAGCTTACAAAATTAGTGACTGTGTGTCTGCTGTAGCTTCTCCCTGTCCCTTACACTAAATTTTAAAGTTCTTTTGATCATCTTGGGAATACCCTTGCCAAATATAATATCTTTGTCCTTATAAAGCAGTTTTTTGTCCTTATAAAGCAGATTCCATTCTCACAAGGAGAAAGGATAGAAGATATAACTGGACCTGGATCATAACTTGAGTCTATGTGCTGTGTATTCTTCATTCTTTCTCATTAGATGTATCCTTCTTTCCCCTTCCCCAAGGAAGCTTCAGGGAAGTTGACTGTTCTGATGGAGGTACTGGGACCTCTTTTCATCACATGTCCTATGTCAGTGACCTGGTTTTGTGTTATCTCTTGTGCATACCGACATCCTTTATTTTTAGACCATTAGGCTACAAGTGAAAGCTGATTCAGGAGCTGCTACTTTTTTGTTTTTAATTTTAGGCCCCTTCTTTCACATTCTTCAATCTTTCAGATTCACATATGAATATCCATTTCTAAAAAAAAAATATCATTAGTCTAGTCCTTGTTTTACCACTGTTTTGGTATAATAAGTTCAACAGGTAATTGTTAAACATCTTAGTAACTTAGGCATAGTACTGGGTGTTATGGATACAAAAAACAATGTAGGTAATAATAATAAAAAAATACATGAAATTTATTGAATGCCTATTATTCTTCCAAGTATTATTCTAAGTACTTTACTTTTATTAGTTGATTATTTGTATTGTTATATTCTAAGCATTTTATTAATGAAACTCTGTATTAGACTTTTTCAGAGAAACAGAATATATATATTTCTATATATAAATATATAGAAAGAGGTTTATTATATATATATGTATGTATACATATATATAAAAATACATAGAAAGAGGTTTATTATGAGGGATTGTCTCATGTAATTATGGAAGCATAACCCATACTGTGTACTTCTCTGTGTGGAGAAGTCTCACAACCTGTCATCTACAGGCTGGTGGCACAGGGAAGCTACTGGTAGAGCTCCAGTCCAAATCTGCAGGCCCAAGAACCAGGAGACCCAATGGTGTAAGTCCTTGTCCAAGTCCAAGGCCCAAGAACCAGGAACACTAAAGTCCAAGGGTAGGAGAAGATGGATGTCCCAGATCAAGCAAAAAGTAAATTAGCCCTTTCTCTGCTTTTTTGTTCTTTTTGGGCCCTCAATGGATTACGGTGCCCATCGCATTGGTAAGGGAGATCATTTTTACTCAGTTTACCTAATCAAATGCTAATCTCTTCTAGTAACACCCTCACAGACACATCCAGAAACAATGTTTTACCAGCTATCTGGGCATCCAGTCAACGTGACACATAAATTTAACCATTATGAACTCTATGAGATAATAACTAAAAGAAAGACAGAGAGGGTAGGTAACATGCTCATGTTTACATAGCTAACAAGTGGTAGAGCCAGGATTTGAACTGAGGCAGTGTGATTTCAGAGCACATGTTCTCAACTCTCACACTTTAATGGAAAACGAATTAAACTCAAAGGACTCATTCCTTTCTTTAGGAAGCTTATACTCTGGTGATCGAGGCAGGTAGGAGACATCAAATATCATTTCAATATGACATGATTGCGAAGATATGGACATGCACAGGATGTTGTAGCTTTCCCTCCTCTTGTCTTCACTACCTATGTGTACTGATTCCCAAAAGATCATTCTGGTGGTCGGCTATCACTTCTTACTGAGAAATAAAGAGGGGGTTAGTTGTGAGTTGTGCTATCTTCCTGAGCATATGTCTGACACTTATTGGAGAGTTTGCCAAGGATGACTTAGGCCAGTAGATCTTACCCAGAATGGGGGTGGGATATTTGGCAATATCCGGAGACATTCTGATTGTCACAGCTGGGAAGGGCTACTGGTCTCTAGTGGGCAGAGGCCAGGAATGCTGCTGAACCTCCTGCAGTGCACAAGGACAGCTCCCACAACAGAGAACCCTAAAATATCAATAGTGCCAAGGTTGGAAAACACTGATCTGGGCTATCTATTGTCATCACTTCTTTTAATTCACATGGAAGCAAGTAGCAGAATGAGAACAAGTCTAGAATCTGTGTCTGGTGATTTTAAAATCCTGAAGAGAATGTCCTGCTGGGCTGCGTGCTCCGAGAGGCAAAGCCTCCACCTGCATTGCTGACGCCAGAGCCTCTCACAGTGCCAGGCACATAGTGTTTGTTCAAGTACCATTACGGGCACTGAGTTGGTTATGTCCCAGATAAGAAAGTGTGTGGAATGGACCAACCAGAAGCGCTGTGACCAGGAATGCCTGAGTATGTCTGCCTATGCACTAGGCACAGGGTAGGTGCTCAATAGACTGTTGAAGGCAGAGACAGGTGGTGGGAAGGATTAATAACTAGAAACTTGAAAGCCCTGGGGACACAGGCATTTTCAGTCTTTTAACAGTTGAAGAGAATGCTTTTGGAAAGGACAGATTTGTGGAAAGTGAACAGCTGGATATGTATACATGATGTTGAACAATATGACTGAGGTTTTGAGGGACAGTAGAGGAGGCCAGAGTAATACAGGTTGTATTTCTTTTTCTTCTCCAGGTAGCTTCTTTCCACTGTTCTTTCTCAGCCTAATTATATCCACCTCCTTTGTTCTTCTCCCTCTACAAAGATTCAACACACCTCCTTTCATCTTGCATCTTCCTTGCTGTCATCTTTTCTTTTCTTTGCCTTAACCAAACAAGGTTTGGGCACCCTCATGAAATAAATAAATAAATAAATAAATAAATAATAAATAAAAATTTAAAAAAGAACAGCAAACACAAATAGGAACAAAAGCGAATTTAGTTAGAATGAGAAAAGAAACCCAATGTATCACACATTTTAAAAGCTAAGAAATACTATAAAAATTACAAATCCCAGAAAAATAGCGACTACTTTCATTAATGAAATGCCTTCATGCTTCTATCATAATTTGCCACTGAATAGCTCTGGTTCCCATTCACTTTAAACTTTGTTTCTTCTCTACTTCCTGCCTACTGCTAGAGAAGTAAATTAAAGCAAGAGGGAACACAAGCCCAGAAGAGGGGATGTGACTTGTCATCATTTTATTTGAAAATCTACTGGTATGAGAGCAAGGGAGAGAGTTGGGGCCAGCATCAGTGTCCTTTTTCTTTATCTTCTGGGGGAGAACTAGAAGGATTATCAGCAACACACCCTACCCCCATACCCACCCTCAAGCTCCAACTTTTACTGCATTCTTGATCAGAGGCCAGACCCCCTGGTGAAGACCATACTTACTGTTTCCAAGCAGAAACTTCTTCTCTCTTCTCCATCCCACCAGCTCAGGCAGAAGCTTTGCCCGCTGGGCCCCTCTGCCTTTCTAAGATGGCTCTCACTCTCATTGACAGGTCATTCAGAAAATCGGCTGACTGCCATCTCTGGCACCAACGTGAGTCTGCAAATCTCCAATTTGCCTGCTAAGTACAAACAACTCACCTGGTTTTACACCACCAGTCAGAAGATTCTAGAATGGGAGTCCAACCAGACTATTCTCTTCAACTCTAAGTTTAAGGGCAGGGTCAGTCTTGGTCAAAGCCATGATCTGTGCATCCATAATGTCCAGAAAGAGGACAGCAACACCTATATCCTCAGGGTGTTGATGGAGTCTGGGACAGAGAAGGAGTGGCATATCCCACTGGAGGTATACGGTGAGTTTTGGGGAGTCCCACTCCAGGACCCCGGAGGGACCACTGGGAGGTTTCCTAGGGTTCATGGGGGCTCTCTCTGGGAGGAGGATAGAGAAACCTCAGGACAGGCTTCATTAATTTCCCCTGGAGCCACTTCCTCTGGGGAGTAACCCTGGGCCAGCAGAGCCCAAACTGATAGCCTGAGGACATTTAAAAGTTCTTCTGATGTTAGTGATCTGAGATGTGAAGAGAGGGAAAACTATAGAAATGATTTCCTATTTTCTTGATGCTCTCCTGTGATCAACCCAAATCAGTTCTGAGCTCATCTTAATAATATACCTGAACACAAACTTCATCAGACTTAAGGAAAAAGTTACAAGAGACACAGAATGGGGCAGGAGCTGTTAAAAGAAGGTGTTTTGTTTTTTTTTAATTTTTCAAAATGGATAGGACAAAAACTTCCACTCACAGCTCTAGCCTAACCAATATGTGGAGAATAAGGACTAGGATATCATACTTGGAATCAGACAGACCTGGGTTAAAAACGTTGGTTGCTAGCTCACTTCCTAGCTGTGTGATCTTGGAGAAAGATCTTAACATTTCTGTGCCCGTATTAGGTAAGTTTCTTTTGATGGCAAGTAAAAGAAGCCAATTTGATGTAAATAAATTTAGCAAAAAGAAAGAAAGAAAGAAAGAAAGAAAGAAAGAAAGAAAAAGAAAAAAGAGTCTATTAAAGAAACGAGAACTATTTAGAGCAATTCAAGGAACTGAGAAGAGTTAGGAAGGGCTGAACAGTGGGAAGAAAGAGAACCAGGGCCAGCCCCGAGTCCCCGGCCTCAGGAATCTGTGGACTATGCCTCCGGATCACTGCCATGTACATGACTTACCTCTCAGAGTCTAGACTTTTGTAACTCTGGGTTTAAATTCTCAGAATTTAAATAGAAATTAAAAGAGAGAAACTGATTAAGCCAACTTGGTTCAAATATGTGTACTGATTGAAATACTTATGGCCCAAAGGGTCAGAATTTAAGGCAGAAACATGGTTCCTGGGGAGACCTCTGTGGTGTTGAGGTAGACAAAATTAAAGTAGAAGGGTGGGCAGGCATCCACGACAGATATCTACCCAAGAACCTCATCTTATGAAGATAATGACATCTTCCTTTTAGGGTGTTATGAGAATCAAAGCAGATAATGGGAATGAAACATAAAAAATGAAAATAAGGGGTTTTTCCCAAACCAAATCATTCTACCATCCAGTTTCCTTCTACCAGATGATTACCAAAAATATAAACACAAAATCTCTACAGAATACTCAGAACATATCTGTAATCTTTCTTCCCCAAAACAGTGTAAATGAAGAGTGTCTTCTATAACCCACCCACTAGATGGTTCCTGTTCTAAGAGGCTGGAAGCCTCTTCTCACATGCTTCCCTCAAGTCACATGGCCTGAAAATTTGGGAGGTTCTGGGAACAGGAAAAGATTCAAAGTCTCTTACAGTGGTGTTAAGAAAAGCCCAAATTTATATCATTTACCAATTTTTTTAAAAGATTTTTTTAATTTATTCATTTGACAGATAGAGATCACAAGTAGACAGAGAGACAGGCAGAGAGAGAGGAGGAAGCAGGCTCCCCGCTGAGCAGAGAGCCCGATGCGGGGCTCGATGCGGGGCTCGATCCCAGGACCCTGGGATCATGACCTGAGCCGAAGGCAGAGGCTTTAACCCACTGAGCCACCCAGGCGCCCCTCATTTACCAATTTCTGTTGTAATTACTCCCACCACAGCCAACTCCAAGTTAGCAGTGGTTTCACAATCAGCTCGCAACGATTCTGGATATTTTAAATTCCATAAGCTGGTGTGACGTAAGCACACCTGCCTGGGCATACGACCCTCAGGATGAGATTAGCAGAAATCTCATTCTTCAGTACAGTCCTTGAATTTCTGATAGCTCCAAGGAGATGTCTTAGAGCCAGACCACCCCAGCTAGCTCAATGAACCCCACCACAAACCACCCAGTGCGTGCTGCTAGCCATGTGAAATGCGGAAGATGTATGAGGCGAGAGGTTAGACGACAGGAAATGGCAAAAAATAGTATGAAAATTGCTCAGTTCAAGCATGCAGGGAAAGTCCAGCAGTCTCAGGGGGGTTCACATAGAAGATGGGGCTAGAGTTCCAGAGGCCAGAAAGATGGAACTCCCATTGCCCCCCACACACTTGCAGCCAGACGTGAGCTCTGTTCTGGTCAATTCTTGGCACATCTAATCCTTTGACACCAAAGCAGCACTGATTCTGCAGGTGTTTTACCCATGGGCAACATGAAAAGGCCCGGAGGATTTCAGAACAAGTGGCCCTGGCAAAGGAAGCAGCAGATGCTGGGATTATCTTCCATTCCGTCTGGCGACAAGACGACAGCAGTAACGACTATATGACCTCCAACATGCACAGAACGCTCGTGCCCCATGGACAGCGTCCCTTTATCTCACTAACATGGTTCTATGGGGTACAGTCAGTTTACCCATGGGAAGGAAATTCAAGGGGTTACTTGTCTCGATAATGTCACTCCAAGTCCAAGACCTAGGCTGATTTCACTCCAAAGCTGCTGCTTTGTCCTTTGTATATCATAACCGCTCCATCCATCCATCCATCCATCCACCCACCCTTTCATCAGATACTTACCGATTCCTATCAGGTAAGCATTGTGCTAAATCCTGAGACACCAAAGTTAGCAGACACAGTTCATCACGGCTGACGTGTGCTGGGGGTTATATGAGCTTCTTCTCATGAATCCAGGAGAGGGCTTTGCCGTGGGCAGGGTAGTATCTCTTACTCCAGGACTCTCGCTGAATATGAGCCCAAGAGCTCCTGATGGGCAGGTGGGCCACGGTGCCAACTGTGGGCTGGCACTGGAGAAGGAGGCTCACATAACTTAGTTGAGATACCAAGTCTGACCCCAGGAGATCTCTGCTGCTTTTTCTGGCCCACAGAGACTCAGAACCCCATTTTGTTTCTGGGTGCACAGCTCCCCCTCCTGGATCCATTTTAGCTTCACCCCCAAGCAGTAGCCCTTCCAGTCTGAACCTCCAGAGGGCCAAGCTGGCTCCTCCTGTAGGGGCCTCTTCTCCACCGCACCAGTTTCCGCGGCACTCAGGGCTCCTCCCTAGCTCCCTTTGTGTTTTGTTGGCTAAACACTCAAAGCATAACTGCCTCATGAATGCATGAACTCATGTCTCATCTTGCAACGTCCTCCTGATCTTCAGATCCTGTACCCAAACCTGAGATAGAAATCCAGAAGACACAGGAAGTGAACAATAGATGTCACCTACAGCTCTCGTGCAGGATCCCGGACCGGCTCATGAACTATACCTGGTATAGGGACTCAGGGCCCTTTTCAACAGGGCTTCAGAATTCTGTGCTTGAAATCGTCGTTGAGCCAAATAACTACTCCACGTTTTACACCTGCCAAGTCAGCAACCCCGTGGGCAGCAAGAATGACACTGTCTATTTCACCTCACCTTGTAAACTGGGTAAGAAGTGTTCCCGAGGGAGCTGGGGGTGGGGTGGGGGTGGGGGGCTAGGGCAACTAGTTTCCTTTTGGATGAAATGAAGGAGGGTGTGGGGAGCCTGTTCAGTCCCCTGCTCAGGTGGAGGATCCCAAATGCATCTGTGAGACCTGAGAGGCTTGGGTTCTACCTCGGGCTCTTCCACCAGCTGTCATCAAGCTTACCTGGCTTTTGTGGAGTTCATCGTCCTCGCCTGCAAAGGGTGGCTGGAACTCCTACCCTGCTCCAACAATGCATGGTCTTAGAATCCGGGGCCGGGTGATTGTAGGACAATCTGAGCTGTCAGGGGAAAAGTCCAAGTGGAAGAGCAGACCAGACACAGTTGAGCAGGTGCATGAAGGGTTCCTGGCAGACAGCTTAAATCAGCAAAGGGAAGAAGGGCCAAGTAGATGAGCACAAGCAAGAACAAGGATGGGACAGGGGTGAGGGCCTTATCCTAAGGCAGAGACTCTCTGCTCTTTAGAAACACAGACTCTGGGTTTCATGTTTCAGTTTTCTCTGTCTCTTGGGAGGACGCACTCACTTGAGCATCACTGCCGGCTCTCTATCAAGCCTACGCAGGTCTGATAGTGGGATAGCCAGGATGGGGCAAAAAGCTCAGAGGTTTTAGAGTCAGGTACCTGGGGTTAATCCTGGGATTGTCACTTAATAGCTAAGCAAGTGACTTAGCTTCTCCAAGTTATGCCCTTCTCTAAGTTGTATCCTTCTTAAATACCAGACAAAATAGTAATCCTTATGCTGTTAAGAGGACTAAATGAGACAGTACAGATACCCTCTCTAGAACAGTGCCCGACAGGTCTCCAGTGAGTGGTACTGAAATTAAAACCAGTTTCTTCAATTCTGGAGACACTAGGGACTGGCAGGAGCCCTCAATAAATTTAGATTACTACCCCCAGCATTCTGGGTCTTGTACTTTCCACACCCCTGGGACGACATCCCTGAGTATACAGATCCACACCCTTCCAGAATAACTCATTTGCCTGAGTTCCCTGTCATGCCAGTCATCAGGGACCATGGCCCCCAGGGACAGTGCTCTTTCACAGTCTTCCTAGACCCAGTCTACTCTCCCACCTGTGCTGATTTCTTCACCTCTGTTCCCACACAGGGACAATGGAACCTGGACATTCTTCTTCATTCTTCCCACCTGACTTGCCATGCCTCTTCTAGTCTGTCCTGCCACCACAGACCCTATGTGACAGTTTGGTATCTGACCATGAGACCACCTTCATATCAACACCACATCCTGAGATCCAGAAAAAGAAAGAGAGACAGTCCCTGTCCTTTATAAAATGAGGGTGACTGCTCATCTACAATGAGGATGAAAAAAATACTAAGGCCATTTTTTTGGAAGGGCAAGTCCAATCTTTTCACTCTTTAGCCACCCAAATTGTCCTAGAAAAGCATCCCTCATTTCCCTCCCCTACTGTATCACTCATTCCCTTTTTCATTTTCTGCTTCCTTTCCTATCCTCTCCTCTTACTCCTTCTCTCTCCTTCCCTTCCTATCAGTCTTCCCCTTCCTTGTCTTTTTCCCTCTTGGTATAGATGGGATGTGGGGTGGCGAAATGGAGAGGGGATGTAGTCTTACCTTCCCGAAAGTCCAGACATTCAAGCATTTGGAGTTTTCTTGCTCTTCCAGGCAGATCCTCTGCAGTAGCTTGGACTGTGACATGGCTAATTATCATGGTACCCATTGTTCCTGGCCCCCTCTGGACCTGAGACGAGCTCTTCTAAATCAAGACATTATCCAAGACAGGAGCTCTGACTACACGGGATGATAGAAAGTGTGCTATTAAAACATCTACAAGGATTTCCAAGTTAACTCTTTAAAAACTACAGTAATATTTTATTTTATATCTTCTACTTATTTTCCAACATAATTGCATCGATACTCCTATATTCTTCCCACCAAAACACGTGATCACATTATGCAATGTTTTCTTGTTTAAATAAACGACGTGACCATCAATGTCAAACAGTCAGACCATGTCTACTCCATTGGCCTGAACAAATGCCATACAAAGGAGAAGAGCCTGGGACCATAGGCTCCTATGTGTTCGTGTGTCCGAGGTGTTAACTTGTGCTGTCTCTGACTCTTGCTCCCACATCCATGCCAAATCTCCTGGGGTTCCAGCTCCTCCCCCCAAGTTCTGGCCTCCTTTCTGAGGGGCATGCTCTTTAGGTTTCCTGGGAATATGGCATTAGGCTTACCCCTCCAGAGTGAGCAGGGGTGAGCATGCAGCTTTGCCACATAAAAAGGGTCCCTTCCAAGCCTTTCCTGGGGAGCCGAGCACCGCCCTCTCCCTTTGCGAGCAACTCTTCAAGTCCTACCTGTGTCACAGGATCTAATAAAACCAACAAATGAACAAAATGTTCTCACTAGGGTCTTCCATTACAGGAAGGTGGGAGCCCCCATCCCAGGCCCAGCACTGACAGAACACCTGGGATTTCTGCTGTGTCTTCAACTCCTCCAAGGCTTTCATGGGCCTGGAGCTGAGAGGGCCTCTCAAGGAAGTGTTCCCCTTCAGGGAACAGTCCCACCACAGATCACTTTTCCTCTGCATCAAACCAGCCTTCCCTGCCATCCAGCCCTCCTCTAGCCAGAACATGTCCTGTGCTCTCATTTTCCTCTTGGGCTGTCCTGGTTAATTTTATGTGTCAACTTGACTGGGCCACAGAGATGACCAGATGTTTGACTGGTTTTGATGTTTGACTCAACATTATTCTGTGTGTGTGTCTGTGAGGGTTTTCTGGATAAGATTAACATTTGAATCAGTAGCCTGAGTGAAGCAAATTTTCTTCCCTAGTGTATATGGGCCTCATCCAATTAGGTGAAGGTGTGAATAGGCTTACGTCCCATAAGTACAGAAAAATTCCCTCGGCCTGACTGCTTTTGACCTGGGACACTTGGATTTTTTCCCTGCCTTCAGATGTCATCTGCAGTCCTGGTTCTCCAGTCTGATGACTCAGACCTTGGGCCTTGTCAGCGTCCATAACTGCATGAGCCAATTCCTTATAATAGATCTGTGTGTGTGTGTGTGTGTGTGTGTGTGTGTGTGTGTGTGTGCGTGTAGCTCTTATTGGAGCTGGAGCTGGAGAGTCCCAATACATGGGCCAAAAGGAAAGCTACCTTTCTCAGCTCCCTTTCCATTTTGCTGGGTCCATGTGACTGGTTTTAGCCGACAGAAAATGGATGGAATTGATGTGACAAGAAGTGAGGGACTCTGAGAAGTGGAGCCACATAATGCAAGGGGCCTGGGTCCAAGCCATTGCATGGAAGCCAGTTGCCTGGTCTACACTGAACATACATAAGAAAGTTTGGTTTCTGTTTGTCACCATGAGATAGCCTGGGCTCCCTAAAACTCTCACCATCTCCGTCAGTCCAGCCTGTGGTTCCGTCCCAGCCTCACCTCTGGTTGGCTTGCACCTTCCGGTGGGACTGTCCATGTCTCTTTTCTACATGCAATGTCCTTCCCTTTTCCTTCACTTTTTTTGTGGCAGAAGAGGTTTTCTTGAAGGGACATGCACACATATGCGCACAAATAGAATCAAAGAGCATTTCTGGGGAAAAGCAGTAAGAGGAAAGAAATGTCACTTTCTATCCAGAATAAGCACAGTCCTTCACAGCCAAGAACACGCGCACCTCCCCAGGCAACAGGTTTCCATCGGATCTAGTTCCTTGAAGACCAGAGGCAAATACTGACTTTGCCAGCCCAGGTCACTGGCACCAACTGTTCCCTGCCTCTTTCCCTTAAGGCAGTGCCAGATACGTAATTTGTTGGACTAAGTGTGGAATGAAAATATGGGGCCCCTACTTCAAAAAGAAGGGAAAAAGTGTCATCAAATGCTCTAAAATAATAAAGTTTTGTCCTTTATTCTGCAGCCTTTCTGTACTTGGGATGATTTTTTTAAATACCTATTTAATGTTCTAAGTAAAGGAAATTTAAAATTTAAGTTATTATTACGAATTGTATTGTTTACATTGTGCCATGTTAGTTTTGAACAAAATAAAGAATACTTAATTTGTGAAATAATTGAAATTACTCAATTCATATCTTGTAGCCTGTACATGCCTATGCATTTTTTTAAGGATTTTATTTATTTATTTGACAGATAGAGATCACAGGTAGGCAGAGAGGCAGGCAGAGAGAGAGAGAGAGAGAGGAGGAAGCAGGCTCCCCGCTGAGCAGAGACCCCCGATGCGGGGCTCGATCCCAGGACCCTGGGATCATGACCCGAGCGGAAGGCAGAGGCTTCAACCCACTGAGCCACCCAGGCGCCCCTGCATTTTGTTTTTGCTAGAACAGTAGGAATCATGCAAAAAACTAATTTAACTATTTGTTTTACCCCTTGATGGACACACATTTTCCCAACACTCTATGGAAGCCAGTGGCTTTCATGACACAATTCCTTTGAAGTCATTTTTGGTCTCTGTGAACCCTTACAGACCATTGACCCACTGGATTCTGTATTGGGGGTGGGTCCACGAGTGCTGCATTTGGTGGAGGCGGCCAGAAGAGGACGGGTGTGCCGGCTGCATGTGTTTCCTCTCATGTGCAGGCTCTATTGTCCCAAAGGACCTCACTTAAACAACACAAGTTGAAAGACGAAATGATTAAGAATTTCAAGATAGCGACAGCAGAGCACCCAACCAAGTGAAGGGCCCTCTGGACACAGGGTTCTGTTTGACTCATTGCCTCTGCAGCCGGTGTGCCTCAAGGAGACCTGGTACTTTACACCAAGACAATACTGTCTCTGGGAGTGCCAGTACAGGGACCAAGCCTTATTCTCATGGATTCCCCAGCCCCTCGTATGTTTATATACATCAAAACTCAGTCCAGTGATTTTCAGTATTACAAAAAAGAAAAAGACAGGGCCCCTAGGTGGCTCAGTCAGTTAAGTGTCTGCTTTCAGCTCAGGTCATGATCCCGGGGTCCTGAGATCGAGCCCTGGGTCAAGCTCCTGCTCAATGGGGAGCCTGCTTCTCCCTCTCCCTCTGCTGCTCCCCCAGGGCTTCTGCTCTCTCTCTCTCAAATAAATAATATATTTAAAACAAACAAAAAAAAGACAACAGGCTCCCACATGGAGACACTTGTGCTAAGCCCACATTGCCAAACCGGTACTTAATAATTAACTTAATTACAGTTTCAATCTCTTCTAGGTTGAACCAATCAATCTGGAATTACCAGATTACCTCATTACTAGTGAGGTAATCTGCCTGACAGAACTCTTCTGTCCCCTAAAGGAAAGTGACTTTGCCTGAGACATCCACTCTGCCAGTAACCTCTCCTGCTCCCTTCTGCTTATGAAAGTCTCTCATTTCATATAGCTCTTCACAGCTCCTTTGTATCTGCTGATGGGATGCTGCCTGACTCCTGAATAAGGCCAATAAGAGCTTTAAAATGTACTCAGTTTTTTTTAAGATTTTATTTATTTATTTGACACAGAGATCACAAGTAGGCAGAGAGGCAGGCAGAGGTGGGCGTGGGGACGGGGAACAGGCTCCATGCTGAGCAGAGAGACTGATCCAGGGCTCAATCCAAGGACCCCAAGACCATGACCTGAGCCAAAGGCAGAGGCTTAACCCACCAAGCCACCCAGGCACCCCTGTAAGGACCTATTTAGAAACTGTCCCTGCTCCCCTTCCCCCAGGGGATATACTTGGGAAACAAGTCCCGGAAACCAGCTCCAGGTAGCAAAGCCCAGATACAAGGGTGGGTCAGGCTAGGTGGAGAATTCAATCAGTGGGGGCATGCATACTGTCTCCCTGGTTACCAAGGAGTATGGGCCCCACCCTTTGGGAGCCTTTGGGCGCCAATCCCAATCAAGGTGTAATAGGCTGGTTCAAATGTCTACTAGGGTAAATTGTAACTCAATTGGTCACCTAGCATCACTGTGGAGTTTCCTGTGTGTGTTACAATCTCATTGGCCACCTGTGCGTGGCCAGGCCTGACCGCATGGCCTTTGCCCTTAAAAGCTAGTCTGTGAAACAGAGAAGGGTCACCCTTTCTTGTAAGAGGTGCGTCCCCGAACGTTCGGTTAGATTCTTGATGCTTGGCATGAAATAAAGCTTTGCTTGACCTTCGCTTTATATCAGTCTCGCTCCTTTAATCACGGACCCATTATTGGGGCATAACACCCCTCAGTGGAATTTTAAAAAAACATTTCATTTATTTATTTAGAGCCTGCAGGAGCAGGGGGAGGGGCCAAAGGAGGGGGAGAGAAAGACTCTCCAGCAGACTCCTCACTGAGCACAGTGCCCAATGGGGGCCTCAATCCTATGACCGACCCCGAAATCATGACCTGAGCCAATATCAGGAGTTGGACACCCAACCAACTGAGCCACCCAGGTGCATGAATGAGCCATTTGTCTTTGTGCAAAGAAGATACTCCAGCATTTGCCCCCAGTTCTTACTGTGCACGGCCTCCTGAGAAGGAAGTCTCAGGAGGATGTCTTGGCGGTCGTCCTTTTCAGGATGCTCTGCTG